TTTAACTCTTAAAGATCTCTTGAGGTGCTATATAAATTTAAAGATATATTTTATTTCTCCAAAAATATTGTTAGAATTAAATAATGTTGGGCCAGTCAAATAGCTCAGTGGATTAAAGTGCCTGCAAGCAGGCACAGGGGCTGGGGTTTAATCCCTGGGACTGCTGTGCCAGCCCTGCCCCTGGGATATGCTGAGATAGCAATGGAGACTGGGCATGGTAGCATGCACCTGTAATCCCAGCTCTTGGGAGGCTGTAAACAGGCAGATCACTATGAGTCTGGTCTAGTAGTGAGACCCTAAACACCTTGTAGACCCTTCCCTAAAATACAAAAAAAAAAAAAAAGAATTAAATAATGTTGGAATTCTTTTGCACCTTAATCACTTCAGGTAGTATTGACATATTAACAATATTAGGTTTTCTAATTCATGAACATTGCATTTATTTATATCTTTTTAAAATTGCTTTCAGCAATTTTATAACTTACTGTGCAGTTCTTTTATCTCCTTGGTTAGTTCCTAAGTATATACTTCTTTTTGATGCTACTGTAAGTGCAGTTGTCATCCTGACTTCATTTTTGGGTTGTTTCATTATTGATGTACAGAAAACAACTAGTTTTTCTTTTTTCTTTTTTTTCCAAGACAGGGTCTTACTATGTAGTTCCAACTGGCCTTGAACTCGCTGTGATCCTCCTGTCTCAGCCTCCCCAGGTGCTGAGATTACAGGAGTGTACCATCAACCTTGCTTCAGGTTGATTTTGAATCCTATAGCTTTTCTGAGTTTTTCTTAAAAGTTAGTTCTAACAGTTTTTTTATGTGCTGTTTTAAGAATTTTCTACAGTATAGCTCCTGTCAAGTATATAAACAGACATAATTTCCAATTTGTCTTTTTTTTAAATTTATCCTGGGTAACTTCCAATACTATATTAAATAGGTACAACAAAAGAACGTATTTGTATCTTGTTCCTATCGTAAAGGGAAAGTAGTCAATCTTTTGAATATGATGTGAGCTATAGTTTTTTTAATAGATATGCCATTTATTATGTTTAGTTGGGTTTTTGGATTTTTTTTTTTTTAATCATGAGTGTTATGCCTAAGCTGGACACTTAGGCAAGATCCTGTCTCAAAGTACAAATGAAAAAGGGGAGTTTGTAGCTCAGTGTCAAGATCCCAGTACCAGGGGAAAAAAAGGTTTAAGTGGGCTAATAAATTATAGCAAAATACTTAAATCGATTTTCAGATGCAAATTTTAAAAAGTTCTTATATGACAAAAATAGAAAATGTCAAAATGTTGATAATACCTGATATAAGTAATGTTGATACCAGTGTATTTATACATTTAGAAAACCATATGTGTAATTCTTGGAATTAATAATTCCTTATGTGTGGAGAATTCAGAAAGAACAAGAGCTGTAAACAGAAAGGTGTTCAGTTTGGTGTTATTTAGAATAACATATACATTTAAAATAATTTACATTCAAATCAATATTTGAAATAGAAAAGGTTCAAGTGGGAAAAGCAACTAACTAGGGATGGGTGAATGGGAAAGGCGGGAAGGGAAAAGAAAAAAAAATGATAAGAAAAGGAAAAAGTGGGAACAAAGCTTTTGTAGATAAGGAGGGGAATGAGGACTGAAGGGAGAGTAGAATAGGGAAAAAATAATTAAGTTTTGTCATGTACAAATACAAATTCCTTATGATGAATGTGATCATTATGTATATCTCAAATGTACCAATAAGTGAAATTAATTTAGAAAAGAAATGGAAAAATTCCTGTCCAAATTTGGATAATGCTAAGCTGAATATAATATCTATATTTGATTCATCCTATTAAAATAATTATTGTAGGACAGTATGAAAAATGCCTATGACAGCATGATTAAAGTAGAACGTAAACTTGTGCTTTGTTTATAATTATAAAAATTATTCTTGGATGGGGCTGGTGAGATGGCTCAGTGGTCTAAAGCACCTACTTAGAACAAGCTCAGCAAACACAGGGACTGCGGTTCAATCCCCCAGCACCACATGCCAGCCCGCCCCCTGGTGGGCTGAGCGGGCCACACACACACACACACACACACACACACACACATGCACTCTCACACACACACATAAATAAATAAAATTTAAAAAACAATTATTCTTGGGTATACAAACAAGTATGTCTGAAGGGAGTATTGAAAGTCAAAAACAAGTAATTTTAAGTGGTGAAATTTTGTTGTTGTTTTTTTTTTTTTTTCTTTTTTAGTCTTGCAGTGGTTCTTACTATTTATTCAGTTCAGAATGCAGGATCTATTCTTGTGAAAAAAGTAAACTAGAATATGATTAAATTTATGTATCTAACAATTTATGGGAAATACAGAATTAAACACATTACATACCACAGTGAGGCAGATTGTGGAAAAGTACACCACCAATGACTCAGTTTCTTTTTAAATTTATTTTTCATTAGTACATGTTTGGTATATGTGTATAGTAAGATATTTCCATAGTTTAATAATTTCAAGTGTGAACATATATAATTCTCTTTATTTCTAACATTAACTTTATGACTCTGAGCCTTTAGCTTAGAGAAGTTGGAAGAAAGTACCTAGATGATATTTGCAATGTGGCAGGGTGTTTTTGGTTGTCACTGTATCACTGTAATCTTGTTGGAGGGCCAAGGGATTTCTCTCAGACATCTTTTTGTGAGGAAGCCAATCCTAGTCATGAAGATTATAATCTCATCACTTTCACCAAAGGCCCTACTACCTTATACCATCATTTTGGGGGCTAGGAGTTTAAAGTATTTATTTTGAAGGGGCACAAACATTCAGACAGTAGCACTTGTCTGTTACTATCTAAACTCAATTTCTTCATACAAAAAATAAGGGTACTTGAACTTGTCTTCTGTCTACATGTTAAGAGTTATTTAGAGAATGTAAGGCCCTTTGAAGACTAAATTAGCAATTATAGTATCTAAGTGTTAATTTTGCCAAGTAGGGAGGAAGACGATCATCTAACATTAACTTTTTTTCATTTCACATTATTTCCTTTATATGAAAAACCAAAGTATGAGTGTGTATGGGTATGAGTGTGTGTGTGTGTGTGTGTGTGTGTGTGTGTGTTTTTAAAGAGCAAAATAAAAGATAGGTAACAGAGAGATATATCTTTTACAAATGGAAAGAAGACTGGGTGATGGAGAAAAGAGCAAAGGAGGGGAGGAGAAGGCGAGGTAAAAGAATTTAAGATGTAAAGGGATGGGGAGATGGCTCAGTGGAATAAGCACTTCCCTGGCAAGTGCAAGGGCCTGACTTCAATCCCTGGTTCCGCAAAAAAAAAAAAAAAAAAAGAATTAAGATGTATTATATACATGTACCAATTCCCCATGATGAATGTAATTGTTATGTACTTACTATAAATGTGTATTAATAGAAATAAATAATAATTTTAGAAAATACTTTTGTTTGCCTCTGCATTGTTTATACCTAAACCTCGATTGATCATGCACTGATGACAAGACCCAGTATGAGTGCCACAAAGGGAATGATTTCATTCGTCCACCATCTCTCCCATGAAGCACCTGGCTCCGTACTGCTGTCTAATAAGTGTCACATTCTTCGAATCCCTCACCACTACTGAAACAGCCAAAACCAGATACCCATTGAAGTAATAGGAACAGTGTGTCAGGAAACTTCCAATCATCTGATAAGGCCCACCAGTCTTCTAATATTAACTTTGTTATAACTTTATATCACTTGGTTCGGCTTTGTAAGATATCGGATACTTCCTCACTATCAAAGCTGGAAATTGATTCTACTCAAAACAGCCTTCTTCCTCTACAAAGCTCTGTGTAGTGAAATACTAAAGAATCCTCAAAAAAATATTAAATAATTCTGAAGAACTAAAGGAGATTATTGTTGAATGATGTGGAAAGGAGAAGGAAGTGAGATTCAGCTAAGCCCACAAAGTGCAAATGAGGTTTTGAAAATTAGCATGTCTGATTTTGGTTGCCTGCTTTGATTTCCTGTATCTGGAGCTGTTCTTATTTTTATGCTTCAGTTGTGTATTTTGATCCTTTCATAGAAAACCAATGAAAACAGCTGGTGTGGTTATTATTCTATAAGTAAGATTTCTGGAAAAAAAAGTTAATATTCAGACATTCCAATCTTTGTTCATTTTATCCTGCTATAATTCCTTTCCAAACAGAAGTGACACATGCAACTGTCTTTCAATGCCTGTGTTATGTGATTCTACACACAGAAATTTGCCTAAGGGTAATTTAAGTGTTTTGATCTGTTTTCCCTTGCTGTGTGCCTTAAGCCACGATTTTTATTTTGAACAGACTTTATTGATTTCCTTATTGTTGAGAGATTTCTAAATCTCTCCCTTACCTATGAATCTCTGCTTCCTTGATAGCTTGTCTAGAGGTTCTAGCTGGGGGTGAAGCTACTTCCCCTTGACTGGGGAAAAGATCTTCCCCTATAGGGATTGATCTTCTTCCAGCAAACCTGCAGCTTTGACAGGGAGGGATGTACATGGAGCTGTGAAGGAGGAAGTAGACATCCACCTAGCCAGCCTGATTACCTGAATCAACCCTGGGTATCAATATAGTGGTAGATGTTGCAGCAAGGTCACCCTTACATCCTGCTTATGCAGCTCCCTGACTTCATTTTTTTCCTCTCCCCCCCCCCCCATGGAGGATTTCACCCAGAGCCTCATATCTGCTAGGCAGGCACTTTAACACTGAGCTATGTCCTCATCCCTTTAGAACATATCTTACTTTGAAACAGGTTCTTGCCAAGTTGTCCAGGCTAGTATTGGATTTGGGATTCTCCTTTTTTAACAGCCTCTTGAGTCACTGGAATTACAGGTATGCACATTCACACTTGGCCGGAACTGCATTTTCTTTTGAAAATTTTTTTGTATTGTAGTCAGCTCCTTGTCAATCAGTGGTGATCAGAATTGTTTTGTTTCCCTTGTACTATGATATGAATATGTTTAGTATGTCCTTTTTCATCACAGGTTTTCTGTGCTTCCTGCTGTAGCCTGAAGTGTAAACTATTGTACATGGATAGAAAAGAAGCTAGAGTGTGTGTAATCTGCCATTCAGTGCTAATGAATGGTAAGTATTAAAACATGTTGATGTCATAGTCACTCAAACAGCAAAAACCACTGTGAAAAAGCTACCTTAAAATATTGAGCTTAATTTGTTATTGAAAGTGGCTTAGCATTTCTTAATTTTTGTGCCTAACTTAATGAATGAATGCTAAAACCAGGTAAGTTTTGTGGGAGAAATAAAGTTCTTTGGAAATCTTGTGTTGTTTATCTGTTGTTGTTTGTGTGAAGTGATTAGAAGAGTGAAGTTGGGATACTGTTGACCACTTGGTGAAATATTGAAATTGGGCCAAAGTTTTCATTTTCAAAGAAGCTATCTCTTTCTAGCAAACACCCTAATAATTTAGAGTATGTTATCTCTCTCTTTTTTAAGTCCTGTTACTTGAGATTGAATCCAGAGTCTGTGTATGCTAGGAAAACACTCTACTACTGAACTATATCCCTATCCCAGAATGCATTCTTTTTTTTTTACTCACTCAGGATGCCTTCAGGGCAGGTCCGATAAGGCTTGAGGATCCAGAATGCATTCTTAACAGAACCTTTTTTCTTTCATTTTCATAAAAATATAGTATCAAGGATCAATTATAAAAGTGCATCTTTTACACTTTATTTCTTTAGTTCTGTTTAGATTTGTTGTAAGGATAATGGCTTTAAATTTAATTGCTATGTAGTGAAATAATATGGTTAGATACTCATTTTGTTCATATTTTGTGTGAATGGAAATGAATTTCAAGGGCATTTTAGGTTAAAAAAACCCCCACAAAACGCCAATGGATGAGGCTGTATATTATTTTTTTCTCTCTGAATGTGTCTTTGTATACTTACTGGTACAGTTGCTAAGACATCAAATGTCAAACCTAGATACCACTGCTGCCTGTGCCTGGATGGTATGCCTCCTCCAGGCTGAAACTTACCTGCTCTGAGGTCCCTCTTGCTCTGTCTGTCTGCATTGCTCATAGTGATGTTTTCCTGTTGCTGGCTTATTAACCTGTTGCATGTCAGTTAATCTGATCTGTTCTAATCTCCTGTAAACCACCTAATTTCCTCCCATTTCTGAATTCTTGTAATTTTGATCAAATGTGAATCATTTACTCTTAAGGGTCACTTTTTAGATGGTGGTTGTTCCATTTAGGGGCTCAATTGATTTTTATTCTACTGCTTTTATCTTTGGACACAAATCCACAGACAAGAGGATGCTGTTTAAGTATAATGCCTAATACCTCTTTTATATGATGAGGTCTTCCAACCTTTTTTTTTTTAACTTGACATAGCTAAAGATGAAAGAAATGGCAGAGGATACATATTGAATACTTTTTGTTAAGCTAAGGAGGCCCTTAACAGGGATCCTAAAATAATCTACTTCTGGTTTTTCTAGCATCTTTCCTCTTGCATGGCTTAGCCTGGTCTTTTTCTGAATATTTAATTTGATGCTTTTCAGTGTTCCCTATCTCTTTCCCCTTTCTCCTTTTCTCTTTCTCTCCCCTTTCTGCCAGTGCTTTCAAAAGAACACAGCGTTTGTTACTAGCCTTGTCTTGCAGTTTGGAGACAAATATTCAAAATCTTATAGATCATTCTTTGATGCTGAATGAGATTTTTCAGAAGCTGCTCAAAAATTGAATGGTTTCTATTCCTGGGTATATAATATTACCTAAACTCAAAGATAAAATCTGATGTCGTTCATTTCTATGGCACTTTTCATCCTGTTTACTTTTAAAGACAGTAGTAAATATGTCAGTATCTAGTTAGCAAAACAATAGTGTATATAGAAACTTAATGTATTTGTGATCATTCATACAGGTTGGTCACATTTATACTGGCACATTTTCATGTTCAAATCAGTCCTATGGTTTTGAGACACACTAAAGATGTGAAATGGTTGTTATTGCTGAATATTTTTCTATAGGGTAGTGACTACATAAAAGCAGAATTCATAAATATATTGATATCTGTTCGCCTGAGCTTTAGGCTTCTGAAATTTTCAGTTGAGGTTTTAATCTCAACTAAGAACCTGAAAGCCTAGGAATAAAACCAAAAATTTTATAATGGAGTTACTATTTTTGCTCCAGATTTTGATTTTTTGGTAGAAGCTTATGAAATACATTAACTATTAAAACAAATCAGAAAATTCCTAATAGCCATCTCCACTGCAAATCCTTAAAGTTGATGTTGGTGTAATCTTCTTAAAGAAATATGTAATCTCCTTTCAAAAAGCCACAGGCTTTGTTTCTTAACAGACTGATTTCCTCAGTCTGTATCCAAAGTATATTGTAATTCTTATTTTCTCCAACCAGAAAGTTTATTTAGCTACATGGTCTCCTTTACTGAATAAAATCAGCTATCTCCTTAACACCTTCACTAGCTGGAAAAGAGACATACTATGAGTACTAGTGAAGAAGAGCTACATTATTTATCCAATATTGTGGAGGTCTTGATGTCCATATTTTGTAATCCATTCACATTGATTGTGTCTGTATTTGCTTTAGCTCAAGCCTGGGAGAACATGATGAGTGCCTCAAGCCAGAGCCCTAACCCTAACAATCCTGCTGAATACTGTTCTACTATCCCTCCCTTGCAGCAAGCTCAGGCCTCAGGAGCCCTGAGCTCTCCACCTCCCACTGTGATGGTACCTGTGGGAGTTTTAAAGCACCCTGGAGCAGAAGGTAGGGGATCATGTGCTATTCTCTCTCTTTTTCCTCACCCAGTTCCTCTGAAAAGGTGCTGATGACTTTATAGCACAAGTCTTTAAAATACTGCAGTAAGTCCCTTTGGGTGGTTATTAAAGTGGAAAAATAAGGTGAGAAATGTGTCAAAACTATATCTGGGCAAGTACAAAATAAAAATTTTGCTGCCTAATATTCCAATTGGGAGGCATTTCTGAAAATATGCCAGTCTCCTTTCCAGCTTAAGAATGGAATAACTGCACTGCTTATACCTGAACAAGCTAACAGAATTTGCAGTGAGCCTGTAAAATTTAGTCCCATGCTTACCTTCACTTTTTTTTGTAGGAATTTACTAAGTGATCAAAATAAGAGTTTTCCTTATAACCAGCCCATTCTGCTATTGCTTTTACAGAATATTCATTGCCATTTTGTCTTCTAATTTTTAATCTATCCATTGTAAAATATTAAATTTTATCTTAGGAACATATACTTTAAAATCTAGGATTTTAATTCTTTCATGTAACAAATAGGAATTTATGGATTCAGCTTATTTAGATTACTACCTTTTAGATGAAAGGCACTTTGTAAAGTTCAGGGAATAATGAATAATAAAAATAACAATCACTTATATATTTCCTTAAATGATCTTGTCAGAATTTTTCTCTTGATAACTAAAATCGGTCTTCTTTCATTCATTTTACATCTTTTTATTATTAATAATCCCTTCCCTTTGCTAAATGGCCCTCTCCCACTTTGGAAGATCAAAGATGTCTGTTAAGATTATCATACTCTTCTTTATTTTCCCCTCTTTTCAGATTGTCCCTCAATGACATATTTTTGTGAGGTCAGTCTTTCTTTAAGTCTTTATTCTCTTTACTTCATTTGTCGTTTTTGTTGTTCTTCCCTAGTCTCTCTTTGTATTGACTGTTTGATTTCCAAGACTAGATTTAAAGAGATCATTTCATCAGACTTAATTTTCCAGCTTTTCTATGTCCTTTTACTAAAATGCAGACTACTTTTGTACTGCCAGATCAGTTATTTTTCCTTTTCAGTCATACTTTAGCCAAAGGTCTGGTCAGTTTGCTACATAATTCTTATCTATCTGTGCTTAGTCTTCTTTTATTAATAATTCATCAACATTCTTCAGAGCATCTCTTGCCCTTTAAAAATATCATATCACTTTTTCAGATATTTAATTTCTATGGAAACCTCAAGACTTTGAGATGTGGATTTCTGCTACTGCTATGAATTTGTTTTCTAGGTACTTGTAGCACTTTCTTTAGTTTCTGTAAGTGATGCAGGACAGAGTATGTGGTCAAAGATTCTTAATAGTTTAAAGAAAATTATTTTAAGTCTTTGTATATAAGTTATAAAAAGAAATTATATATTTAAGTATATATTTTATTAAAGTATTTCTAATTGTTAAGGTGTTAAATAATGATTTCCTTGTAATGATTTCCTATCTGGAATTGGTAACCTTCTCTTCTTTGATATTAGAAATCTTACCAATGTCACATTGATGCCTGTTTTATTTTTCTGGCTCCTCAAGTGGCTCAGCCCAGAGAGCAGAGGAGAGTTTGGTTTGCTGATGGGATTTTGCCCAATGGAGAAGTTGCTGATGCAGCCAAATTAACAATGAATGGAACTTCTTCAGCAGGAACCCTGGCTGTGTCACATGACCCAGTCAAGCCAGTAGCTACCAGTCCTTTACCAGCAGAGGTAAGAAAAACTAAAGAGCAAGTAGAACATTGTGGTGTCTTTTTGTTGCCTTTTTCTAAATTAAGTGATTGTTGGGTAGAACCATGTAGCATTTAGGTACAATGGAGCAAGCATTTACTGGTATTCATAGGGGAATAAAGTAAATGTAGCAAAATCAGATGGTCTTATTTGTAAGTATTTTCAGAAGATTTTCATGGAGGTTTTTCTCAGATGAGCTCAGGCTGTTGCTGTAGCTAGAGGTCAGGCTATAAGAAATTCTGGCTCCTTTGTTGTATTTTTCCCAAACCATGGTCCCCAGGTTCTGTGGTGGGCTCTTGGGAGTATGTAGTGAGAAGGATAGGGCAGTAGGAAGTGGTTAAGGAACCACTCTTTTTCTTTCTCTTCAACCTAATCATCTTAACTGTTTTTTGTTTGACCTGTTATGCTTTCATGTAAGATTTTTTAAATAGAATTTCAAAGTTTGAATAATTAATGAATCATTGGCTTAACAAATGGAAGGTTGATACAGTTATCTAAAGAAGCTAGCTTATAATGTGCTCTTGTTTTCATCTTTGTAGAAGTACCAGTAATAATTTACAGGTAATGGGGATCTCTTTACAGCCTAGTTTGATTTGGTTTGGCTTTTTAAACAGGGTCTTTCTGTGTAGCTCAGGCTAATGTTAAAGTCATTAACTGTAGCCCACAGTTTAGTTGTGTTTTATTTGGCTTGTCTTAGTTTGGTTTTTTTAGATATCATCTTGCTGTGTAGCTTGGGCTGATGTTGAATTCACGAGGTAGTTTGGGCTAGCCTTTAACTTTTATTCCTCCTCCTGCCTCAGCTTCCTAAGCATTGGGATTACAAGTATGTGCAACCATGTCCAACAGAGCTATGTAGAAGAGAACAAATACAAATGACTTTTTGGAGTCAGTGAGAGAACATGGTTACCTAGAACCAAAATTAGAAAGCTTACACAATTGGTTATCAGTCCCATACTGACATAGCTACTAAGAGGGGCTCCACCAGTAAATATAGGTTTGTTGTGTAAGAAGATACCTTCTAGGCTGGCCAGATAGCTCAGCTGATTAAAGCGCCTGCTTAGGAAGAGCACAGTGACCGGGGTTCGATCCCTGGTGTGCCGTGCCAGCCCTGTCCCTGGCATGCGCTGAGGCCGTGATTGAGACTGGGTATGGTGTCACGCGCCTAAAATCCCAGCACTTGGGAGGCTGAAAACAGGAGAATCACTACTAGTCCAGTCTACATAGTGAGACCCTGTAGACCCTGTACTCAATTAAAAAAAAAAAAAACCCACCTTCTGAGTGTTCTCATAGGGGACTGAGTCAAGCAATTGAGATTTGGGAGGTGAAGCAAGCAGAGTGGACTGCATTTAAATTTGATTCCATCTAATTGTTGCTAATATATAAGAGAAGTCTCATTCACCTTTCTCTTGTACTTGTGTTTCCCCCCGCCCCAGAGTATCCACTATCCCAATCAGTATTGCAGTACACATCGTCTCCAGAATCCATAAATGTGTTTCTGGTTCACTCTGTAATAGCATGACAAACACAGTTTATCCATTTGCAATATTCAAGAAAGAGCTTGTATTTCTATAACAGGAAAAATATGTTATGTTCTGTTGTATGGAGGAGCATATTTTGCTGACTTAAAAGAACATGATGTATACAGTTTTCTAGCAATTTTTTTTTGGGGGGTGGCGGAACCAGGGATTGAACTCAGGCCCTTGTGCTTGCCAGGGAAGCACTTATTCCACTGAGCCATCTCCCCAGCCCTTCTAGCAATTTTCTTTGTTTCTATTTACAGCATTTCCTTTGCTGTACCTTGGCTGGTGGCTGCTAGATTTTAATTTGTTTTCCTGCTTGATAACATTAGTGATTCTGATTTCAGGTTTTCATTTGCTTTGATTTTGTTTTTCCTCATGTAACATTGGTAAAAGATCCAGGAATATAACACAAGGGTGGAATAAATATTAATTTTGTACATTCTTTGGTAATTGTTTTTATAACTACAAAGCTTGTTACAGGGCTGGTGAGATGGCTCAATGGTCTAAAGCACCTACTTAGAACAAGCTAAGCAAAGCATAGGGACCGTGGTTCAATCCCCCAGCACCATATGCCAGCCAGCCCCGCCCCCTGGTGGGCTGAACTGGCCACACGCAAAATAAATAAATAAATTTTTTAAAAAAGCTTGTTACAGATTTATGCATTTCATTCAAATTAGTGATCTATGTTTGTGTGATTGCCTAAACACAATTGTGGATTATAAAAAAGTGTAAAATCATAATTACGTTCCTAACTAGAAGTAATATGTCTGTTTTTGTATCTTTATGCTGTATTTTAATACTTTATATCACTTAGGTTATTTTGCTTTCGTTAAAAATGGCTTAAGTAGAAAAGCTGTGCCATTCATATTGACAGTGTACAAAAGTGTAAATATAGGGGCTGGAGAGATGGCTCAGTGGTCTAAAGCACCTACTTAGAACAAGTTTAGCAAAGCATCGGGGACCGCGGTTCAATCCCCCAGCACCACATGCCAGCCAGCCTCGCCCCCTGGTGGGCTGAGCTGGCCACACACCTC